AGCGATGCCCAAGCCTGGTGTTTTGCTGAGCATGTAGCTGTCCAGGTCACACGTGCGTCACGCTGCAGAGCCAGCCCACAGCCCAGGACCTGCACACCACCCCAAAGCTGAACACAAGAACGATGAAGCAATTCCTGCTTATTGGGACATCTCTGGCTCACAGAGGTCCACTTGGCTACGTGTGCTCTTCAAAAATCAACATCGCTGAAACAGGGAACATAAGCAAAGGAGGTCAGAATCACCTGCAAGTACTTTACCAATGCAAGATCATGACTACCATTCACTTCCAACAGCAAAAAATCACAATTAGCAAGAACTTAGCCAGGAAAGCTGGCAAAAACTCCCCACTGTATATTTGCAAGCAGCATCACAAGATTTACAATTAACATGTGTAGTCAGGACCACACTGAGTTAAGACTGTGGGAGCAGGGCATGGTACTACCCATGGGACACCCCTGAACCGAGTGGCCACAGAGGAGACAGCTGCCCGAGCCGTGTAATCACATCCCTAATCAGAGCACACCCAGAGGTCACCTCTGACGTAGAGGTGTCCAATCCTCTTGTTGTTCATTCAAAAAAGCCTTTCCTCCATGTGAGGCCACTTAGTGCAAAGCAGTAACGCTCCTTAAATTAAAGCAGCACATCCCTGAAGCTACTTCAGGCTTTTCCCCCACAACACAAAGCCCTCCAACTGAAAGAGGGCAAAAGCCAGTCAGTGTTGGAGGCTGTGAAAGTGCAAAGACCAAACTAGAAGGAACCCAAGAGAAGCGACTTCTCATCCTCCAAAGCCTTGTCTGCATCCATACTTAAAGATCAGCACCCTGTTCTCCATCGGATGAGCAGGAAATTCTTCTAAAGTGAAGTGTTAGCCTGCTCCCTCCTATGGCTGTTCAGCTGGCCACGGCCCAATACAAGGCAGGGCAGAAGCACGGATTGACCACCACTTTAGCACATTTCAAAAGCCTATCCTCCACAGGTAAGGCTTCTGATTTCTTTTTAAAAGGCCTGTTGTTTTTTTTCCCCTCAGATTAAAAAAGAGCATACAAAGATCTCACCTAGCACCAACTTCTTTCACGGAATCACAGAATGGTTAGGGTTGGAAGGGACCTCTGGAGATCATCTAGTCCAACCGCCCCTGCTAGAGGAGAGTCACCTACAGCAGGTTGCACAGGACGGCATCCAGGCGGGTTTTGAATGTCTCCAGAGTGGGAGCCTCCACAACCTCTCTGGGCAGCCTGTGCCAGCGCTCCACTACCCTCAAAGTACCCTCCTCATGTTAAGATGGAACTTCCAATGCTCAAGTTTGTGCCCATTACCTCTTGTCCTGTCACTGGGCACCACTGAAAAAAGACTGCTCCCATCCCCCTGGCACCATCCCTTTAAGTATTTGTAAGCATTAATAAGATCCCCCCCCAATCTTCTTTTCTCTAGACTAAAGAGACCCAAGTCTCTCAGCCTTTCCTCATATGAGAGATGTTCTAATCCCCTAATCATCTTCGTAGCCCTTTGCTGGACCCTCTCCAGCAGATCCCTGTCTTTCTTGAACTGGGGAGCCCAGAACTGGACCAGGGCACATTGCTGGCTCATGGTCATCCTGTTGTCCACCAGGACTCCCAGGTCCCTTTCCACAGAGCTGCTCTCCAGGAGGCCAGCCCCCAACCTGTACTGATGCATGGGGTTATTCCTCCCCAGATGCAGTACGCTACACTTGCTCTTGTTGAACTTCATAAGGTTTCTCTCTGCCCAACTCTCCAGCCTGTCCAGGTCACGCTGTAAGGCGCAGGGGAGGCAAAAGTTCACTAATGAAAGAAAAAGGGAAACAGCCTTGGGAACTGTAGGGCGAGAGAAATGAGTTGTCCCCTAGCGAAACTGTGGTGAAAAACCACTGCTTCTGCAGGATCACCAAAGAGCCTAAGCCTGAGCTCTCCAGGGGCAGGAGAACCTCAACTCAAGGTGAACTGAGGTTTTTTTTTCACTGCTGGGAACAGCCCCCTCCTCACTGCAATGTTAATTTCCAACAAAATATGGAAACAACAACTAGCTTGTTAAACTAAATTCTTATATTACCTTATTAGAAGACAAGCACAGACAGGAGGAGTTTCTATGGACAACTGATCTGCAAAGACTTGCCCCTGTACCATACCTGACTAGGAGGTTGATAGAAGGCCACAAACTGTTGTGACCTCTTCTTACCCATGCAGGTAGCGACATTTGCTCTGGCATTTGCTCATTGAGACACGGAGGTTATTGCTCTTTAACCTGCCTGAGAAACCTTTTTTCCTGTCTAACACAACCCCAAGATTCTGTGAATCCCTCTCACATTCATATAAATACATATTAAGAAATCTACTTGAAAGTGCTCATGTTGAAATCCTTTGTTTAAAGTTCGCTAGTGTTTTACAAAGGCTGTCTGCAGGAGAATTGCTCAAGTACAGCTCCTGAAATGTGAAATAAAAAAACCACACCACAACAAAACAAGGCCTCTTACTATATCAGCAGGATAATGTCTGCATGGTTTTTTTCCTGCCTAAAAAGGACATTGTTTCTTACATAATTGTCAATCACTTTTTTCCAGCATGGGATGACTCCTCTAATAAATAATAATATTCATTACAGCAGAGATGCACTCAGCAAGTTTCTCTGCACAAACGAGATCAACCTGACAAAGCATTGCTTGGCTGAACACAAGCGTCACTATTAAAATCACCATACTACATATTTTTTTCTTCCCCTCAAACGCCTCCTTCCCCCTCTGCATGAAAGCATCCAGGAAAATTTATCCCTTTACTGAGTGCTGTGGACTAGTCACATTCATGAGATGTAAGCCACCTAGCCATGGGCAATGTTGCTAGTCCACCAGAGGAGACTAGTCACGGGCCATGCTGAGACCAAGACCGCTGAAGTAATCTCAAGCTTTATAGATCGAATTCAGTACCTGACGTGTTAATAAATACCAACTTATTTTAATAAGTTTGTTTGCATTTCAAGTAAACCAACAAATATTAATGAAATTAGCTTCACCTCAAAATCGCAGAAGCAAAAATTCTGTGAAAACAGTTACAGCTTACAGTTTGACATTAATTCAACTTAGATAAAATAGCATCTGGAATGATTCTACTGATTTCTGCAACTCACTGATAAAAAAAACTACTCAAGCAGTAAACAGAAAAAAAATTATTAATATTTAACCCTTATCTCAAAATATCTTTTTGAAGTTATTTAACAAAAATAAACAACTCTGTACTTAAATTTAACGATGTAAAATTACAACAGCTCTTCACTTATGAAACCTGTAGTATAATCTGTAACAAATAAAGTTTTTCATTGGACTGAGGGCCTGGTTACAGACCTGTAAATAAAAGACTGGTGACATCCCAAAGGGAGATCTGATGAGCTGGACTCAATTTTAACATAGAAAACGGCACCACAGTAACTCAGAAACAAAGAAAGTAAATTACCATGGTTCTTCAGAAAAGAGGACGCTATGGTTGCTATAGTAAAAAGTAAATATATAATTAACAATTTATACAAAATATGGGCTGACAAATAAATGGTATTTTCAGAGTAAGCATATTGAAGATTTGGATTTTACCCTTCTGAAAATACCTCAAGTATTGCAACAGAAAGAAAGGAAACCGTAAAGTTCAACAAAATTCTGCAAGTACAAGTATTTACTTTTAGAAAAAAAGAAAGATGAACATCATTCTAAAGCAGTTGCGGCATTCCGAATCTGTGACTCTGGAAAGAAAACTGCTTCCTTCCAACATATGAAGCAACAGAGAATTGACCAATACTACTCTCTCTTACATGAATTTAAAATAAAGTTTTCACGTTTCCACCGATCCGATTTAACAGTGAGAAGAGCAAGGAGAGCTGGGAGGAGTTTGATTAGCCAAGCAGTGAATGTCCTCAACAAAGCTTTATTATGGATTGGTTATTTTGTTTCCTGAATGTAAGGTGTAGAAAGAATGAATGAATTATAATATAGGGATACCAAACTAACTTTTTTTTTTTTTTTGGACTAAGAGCAACCAAAATACATCATTCCACTTTTCAGAACAAGCCATTCTAATGCAAAGCTGACCACATTAATGGTCGACTTCATAAGAGCCCATGGAGACAAAACAAATCAACACTTTGGCCTCTTTTGAATATCATCTTATCTGGGGCCTAGGAAGAAAGCACAAAAAGTGGTTAATAATTAGACGTGGCCTTTACTAATAAAGTTATATTAATCTTCCAGTGTTATCTTTTGAGATAAAGGCATAGCTTCATGGTGGCAGAGGTACAGGAAGGTACCAAAAATAGCTGAGCATGTCTTTAACTATGAACTAGAAGCTTCTTGTTTTGTTTTACATAGCAACCACACAGCACAAAATTTTGACAATCTGGCATGTTTTGAACTTATTTTCACTCTGCTCATTTTTAAGTCCTAATGGCTGACAGTCTCTAAAAGTGACATTAAATGAAGTGCAGCTCTGAGTATAGCAGGAATACGAGATGCAATCCTCAAAGTGGAAATCTGAAGAACCTTCTCTTTTTAAATACAGGTTAAAAAAATTACTATCATACTGCATTAATGGAATTTTTATTCAATACACAGCTCTTTTATTTGATGTGGATGCAGACAAACATATCCCTTAAAGAAAAATAAAACAACCCCAAACAACATAATACTTCTCTACTGCTTTAGAATTGATGAATGTGCTCCCATTTCTCCTAGACTTTGTAAAAAAGAAAGAAAGAAAAAAAAATTTACAAGCAGGAACCCTCAGAAGAGTGCCTTACCAGGAAAGGCCAGCCTGACCACTCGCTATTTCAGTTTGTCCAGCAATGTCTTATTTGCGTGCAATGAATAATCAGATGCTAGATATCATTAGAGTATGGCATAGTGAATAAATACTACCCATAGGCTGGGGCGGAACAGCAGCGCACAAGCCCAATCCATCTTTGCATGTGTTTACATTACACGTTCTTGAAAGTTTAACGCTTTGCCTGGATTCCGCACATCAGCCTTACTGCTAGAAAAGTTGCAAACAGCAAGAAAGAAAATCATCATTAAAAAAAAATATGCTGTAACACAGGCTTCAAAGAGCTTCCACACTCCTCGTTATTTCAGAGATGATTAGTTAAGGTGCTTTCAGATTCTGCATTGCAGACAGGTTGGCAGAGGTGGCTGTTTAATAAGCTCTTAACAGTCTTCAGCGGGATCTGAGGGCAGTTCCTAAGAGAGAAGCCCCGAACTGCTAGTTTCTGTAGCGTGGCATCTGTGGAGCTGGGGCTCCCTCTAAGGGGGCTGCAGAAGAGACTGACATAAGCTGTCCAGCATGCATTCTCTCATTCACCCGCAGTTCACAGCCATCCTGCAGCATCCTTATAGCTATCCTTGCAATGTTTTTAGAGTCATCAAGTCCGCTATGAGGTCTCCCGTCGTAATTCATGCCCAGCTTTTCAAGCATGATTGTCAGCTTGGTCTGGTTCCTAGGAACCTGATGGAGAAAGTGAACCACATTCAAGAATTAGGTTCTGTAGCAAGTCTTTTTAATCTAACACAGTGCAGTAGAAACATATGCAGATTTTAAGCCTACTTAAGTCACTTACTGCTTTCATGTTGCCTTTTGTCAGATCACTAACTATTTAACTTCAAAGCACCTTGGTGAGACAGATACTCTCATTTTTACAGAGGAGACACAGTCAACAGGAGCTTGTCTAGACTTAGGATAATCTGAAGAGCCTCTCACCATTACCAGCACTAGCTCAAGAGATGCCAGCGCTGGCAATGGTGGAAGCCATGGCCGAGCTAGGTTAAACAAGCCTTGTAAAAAAGGAATTACCACCCAAAGCGGCATTGCAGAGGGAATCAAATTTTGGTTTTCCTTTTAAATACGATGGGACTAAAGAAGCACCAGGCTCCTGATTCTCACTGACATCAAACCTCTGAATGCCTCCAAACACCACAGGAACAGATCAGCAACACCTATAGCAGCCCGTATTTAGGTGGATAACCAACAGCATTAACAGACAAGGAAGCTTAACTGACTTACCCATGCAAAGTGCTACACCAGCAAACGCCCCAAGTCCTTTCTTGATTAACTACTAAATATACATTTGTTCTTTGGAAAGGTCAAAGAAAAACAAAAGGGTAACTTTAAAGGATAATTTTACTTTGCTGTCTTAGTGGTAGTGGTTGGGGTGGGGGAACACGGGTCATGACAAGTTCCATGATATTGCACCATGCTACTGCATTTAATAGCGAGACAGAATGGTGACAACAAAGTTGCCAAAACCCTGCAACATGCAACTCCAGTAATAACACCCACAAACTAGGCAGGGGAGACATACTGCAGGTTGTGGGACATTCCACAGGAAAGTTAAAATTAGTAACTAAGAATGTGTTGTACCTATTACTATTACTTAACAACAGATTCAACAGCAGCACAGAATAGCTGAACAGAAGCACCGAACAACTACAAATGCTACAACTGTTTGCATTTATGGGAAAAAAAAAAAAATCACAAAAAGTAAAAAGAAACTGATTCCTTCTAAGTTACAATGTTCACTGTATTTGAATGAAAAAGCACTCAGTGCTCAACAGAAGGAAAAGGAAGGTATGTTTAGGTTAAAGTTGGCAGGACTAAAAAGACTGTTCTGTATTCTAGCGTGTTTCCAATGGAAACAGTCATGCAGAGAAGGCACAATCACAGAGGGAGAAATGGAGTAACCCTATAATATTTGCACAGCACAAAGTAAAGCTCTTTGCTTACTAAATGTTAACCTCTTTTTTTTTTTCCCCCTGCAGGTTACATTTAGTATGAAAAAGCCCTTCAAGAGAAGATCATCAGCTAGGCTGAAATCATATTCAAAGAAATAGTTTAGTGAAGACTTGGAATTCGCTAGAATCTCAAATAATGCATTTTATGGTAATCTGACAGTAAAAGAAAGCAGCAATAAGGTCCAGCACTTGGTATTACTTTTCTCTTGACTGTAGATATGTCCTCATCTTTCTCTGTCCCCATTACATTCTCAAAAGTGGAGATATCGGCAGTTAGTGGCGCAAATTATTTTTGTAGTGTATTACATGAAAACAGGAAAAAATAATTGAAAAGTTGATACAGAGCCTTTTCAGCTAACCTACTTCAAGACACAACTGGATCTAAGAGCACCAGCATGATGTTTTTAGACAATCCTTCATGGAGCATCTCCTGATTCTTAAAAACAAGATTAAAACCAAAATGCAGGAGATAATACGATCTTCAATTAGTAAAGTGAGATCTGGGCATGAAGCACATTTGAAAATCTGGCCCCAGGCAACTAGTTTAAGTACTATAATTTTATATTACTCAAGTAAGGATGACAAGCACAACAGGACATGCTAGACTTTTAAACCAAATTTTCCCGTAAGAGCAACAACAATCTGTACGAACCTTATAGAAGTTCCCATACGATTTGCGAATATTGATCCACTTTTTGGCAAAAGAAGGGTATTTGATACGGCTAATACGGCACTGGATGTTCAAAAATTTACTCATATCCCAAGATCTTAAAAAGTCAAAAGAGAAAAAGAGAACATTAGTAATATATAATTCAGATGCCCTGCCTTCTACATATTGCACAGCTGTAGCACAAAAAGCTCTCTTTTCTTTGGTGGTCAATAGGAACAAAACAGCTTAGGAAAAGCCCTTTTGCTATTCTCATGGTAAAAGATTTTTTAATATGAATTTGTTGATCATGGGGAAAACAAATAACGACACGAGCAAGATTTTCACTAGGATGGTTTCAGGTCCAGGACGGTTAAAACAAAAAACAGCAGGCCAACTTCTCCACGTACCACATCTACTGCAAAACCTGCCAATAAACAAGATGCTTACACAGCCCTTGGGGAATCAAGTGACACCTTAAATCTTCCTCATTACTTGGATATGCATGCATCTCTCTGCTTAACATCGGTTACTGAAACAAGACTACATTTAGCTTTAGGAGAACCAGACTTTTATGGAAAGAAGTTGAAACTATAACCCTATGCACTTTTAACAGGCTTCCTGAAGGGAACCACTCCAACAACTTTGTAAGCTTCAAGCTAAAATAAAGCCTTTTTTCCCTCCCTCTTGCAGCTGTCTACACAATCTCACCTGTATGACAGAGATTTCACTGCACCTATTTTCCTTGAGGAATTTTACTGAGGGGAGTCCTCTGGAGGGGAATTCCAGACACATTCTAAACCGCGTAATATAACCAGTCTTGCACTAGTTTTGCTTTACCATTTTCTTTTTTAATTCACTGTTGCTTCCAAAGATAGAAACCTAATCACAGGTAAAAAATTACTCAAATAGCAGTATTTAACCACAGTCCTTTAAATTAATTAAAGTCGGAATGACATTATTTTAACTCCTTATTTTTAAGGTGTACATGGATCTAAACCATACACCTCAAGTCTTGTGTGACAGGTCTTAAAGGAGTTCACTGTTCCCACCAGACAGAACCACATTTCAGTGATATGGGTTCTTCACCAGAAAAGACCTGTGATTTATAGTCGTTGTCCAAATCTTCAGGAATTTTGAGGAAAAAAAAAAAAAGTCTCACGGCCAGAAAAAATGGCCACTTAGCACTCGCTAAGTTGCATTACTTGAAAAAGTTTTTGTTATGCACCCATTCATCTATGACATTATTTTTCAAACTACTTATATTATAGACTAGAATATTTATCTGTGTTTTACTTGATAGAAGCACTAGGAAGTCATACTAAGATCCCCCATGCTCTTTTTTTCATAAACTGCAGTTTTGTTTCAAGGTTCACCTCTCTTTGGTTCAACGCAGTCATTATAACATTATAGTCATTATAACAGAGCGGCACAGGACGGCCTTTTTAATCCAGCACAGCAGAAGACTTACTCCGGGCAAACAACAGGCACAGCAACATGAAAATGCATAATTCACCTCAACATGGCTAATATTAAAAACTCTTTATGCTACTTAAATCCCTCATTCCAAGAGAAGGAGGAAAGCAGACACGTTGACAGAATAGTAATGTTTCGTGGCTAAAAACCAAGCATCACTTACGGAAAAATTCCCTGGCCAGTGCTAGATAAGGTAAGGCTCAAAAAGTATCTTTCATCGTATAACAAAGCCAAGATCAGAAGAACAAAGTTGCATCACAGACATATCTAGATCTCAAGATCTGTTCACTCTGCAGTCATTAGGGGACTTGATTTTCCACGAAGACCTTGTGAGAGAACAAGTTCAGGTGGCAGCTCAAAAACTAATCAATCCCTCACACACAAAGGGTGTCAGAGCTGGGACCCACCAAAGCCATAATCCTCTAAGCCAAAGCAGAGAATTTTCTGTGCTAGCTATTTCTCCTTGTTCAATAAACAGCATAATCCATTATTGCTTTCTGGTGAAATATGCAGGATGTATTAAGAGCAACACTAATAAACACAGAATACAATACAACCACCACACATATCTGAAACCTTGGATTCGGGAGAGCATGGGAGTTGCTTAGAACCAAAATTGCACAACGCTATTTTCAGGTATTTTGTGCTACGTGAAAACTAGATGTAAACAGAGAATTACAACAGAAAAGGATAAAAAGTATACTCAACATCATTTAGTAGCATACAGAAAGCTAGGAAAGAAACAGTGCCATCTAATGGATTCAAGCCTCATTTCAAATTGTTTAGTTCAGCTTTTCTGATTTTCCTGAAAGCTAAATTATAATAAAATGGCAAAATGGCAGAATCATGATCCACCTTTAAAAATACTCTCACAAAGATTAAAACACTGTTTTGCAGTTTTGGATTGTACTGAAGGTTACATAAGGACATACCCATCTGTCAACATGGAATAGCTGTACTTTGTTCCCAGTTCTCGCTGTCTCATCCACTCTATCACATTCTGCAGAACTTGAGGAAATGTATCAGCTTTATCAACAATGTCCTAAAAGAAACAGAAAAACAAGAGAGGAACATTTTTTCAGAAAAAAATCAGCATGAAGTGTAAGAATTATATTGGTATATAGGCAATCACTAAATCACTCACTAAACTGGCTTCACAAAAATCTTTATAAACAGACTACACATTAAAATAAGCAGTTGGTCAGATTTTTCTATACAGAAAAAAGCACCACAAAAGCACCACTAGAAACGTCCAAATGGCATCTATAAAGGTAACAAGGTTAGTTCGCTGCTGAACTTAGATTAAAACTTTAGATCTTGTTTCCCATGCTCCTGCTCATGTCACTTGGTCACAAGCCATCGTAAGACTCTAAACCTTTTAGAATAAAAATCTTAGAAGAGGAACCGATGCAATTCAAAAGGTGCTTTCCTCTGTTAAAGATTAAGTTTCCATATATGGATTACAAAGTGAATGCTATTCCCTACAGCCCCTTACACACACCTGAACGACCAACTTAGCGAAATCAGTTCTGTGACAATTGGGAGAGGGGAGGAAAAACACAAGGATTAAGAGAATAAGCCTTACAGAAAAATTACCACAAAAGATTACCAGTCTGAAAACTTCAACACCACATCTCTTTTTTTCATATTTTTTCCTGAAAAAACAAAAGTGCAAATTACCTGGGTGATGCCTGTCAGACTGATGCAGAAGTTTGAAAGCTTGGGATTAATCTCTGGCTTCACGTATTGCTGAAAGGTATCCTCCTGTATCAAGAGAATCAAACACTCAGCAGCAGTGCACTATGCAGCCTGCAAGGCAACTTCTCTAGCTTGCCCATAGCCAAAAGGCAATAGCGGCTACTTGTCCTGCTGGAGGCAAAAAGGAGTGTGTACCTCCCGAGCCAATATGAGCCTCCTGGCTGGCCATCATGAGGTTTCCAATGGGACAGACAGATGGCTTTCCAACTGGAACATGCCCTTCCTCTCAGCCAGTAGGCACCAAAGAGCAGGGATGTGGATGTAAGAGGGCAGAAGGACAGATTGCAATAAAGGGGAGAATTTGGGAAAAGGAGAGCATGAATACAGAAAAAAAAAAAAAAAAAAAGAAGTGAGAGGCATGAACAAAGCCAGATGTTTTTTAGGTGGTATCTCTAAAGGCTCACCTGTAATTCAAGGAAGGCAACTGGCCACACATCTCAGAAGCTGCATGCAAGTCATACACCTCTGGATGCCAGCCAGACATAAGCACAATGACCTCACTCCAGGAAACTGAGCAGCACAAAAAGAATGCCCCAAATCCCTGCTGCTACAGAAAACCTTTCGGATGGAGGAAAAAAAAACATGCCGTTTCCTACTACTCTAGAGGTAATAAAACAATCTGGGTAATCTGCACAATCCTGTCTGCAGTTAGTCATACATGCAGCTACACTCTAATGTAGCATCACAGTGACTACTGGAAATCCTCCTCCTCTTAAAAGTTCTTGATAAATGAACCATTAGTCAGAGGTGAGTGCATTTCCTCCGTTTCACTGAGTCACTCGGTTTCAGCTGGACAGCAAGTAGTTTTTCCTAAAGGAAAGCTGTACCGCAATAGAGCACTTGAGGCTGCCAAACACCTACTAAGTATGTTTAAAATCAGGTTACACAGCTGTCAATCTGCTAGGTACATTGTGGAAATATTCTAGCCCACCAAGAAGCAGAGTTCACTCAATCTCACTTTCTAGACCTCTGCATTAGTCTCTTCTAGACTGCCAGAGACCACAGGACCACAGAATTTGCTAATTCTTGTTTATAATGAATCCCTTGAATCCTAGAAATAGCTTTGTGGATCTTGAAGCAGGAAAAGAACAGCAGGGAGGGGAGGACAACTGAAAAACTGGAAGTCCCTCATATCAGTAGAGGGAGTCAACAGCAGGAGCATGATCTGTTCCAGATGCTTTAAGAATAGAAAGAAAGTTTTGTTTGTATGTAAGAGGCACAGATGATAGCTCCTTATGAGAAAAAAAAAAGAGAAAAAAAAGTTATTTTTAATGAAGTTCAACATCTACCTAAAAACTAATCTAGACTTTCTGAAGCAAAGAAGTTACATCGAAGAACAGCATACTGACATAGTTATTAGTTCACTTACTATTTCCAGGGTATGCGTGTTTAGTAAGACAATAGGAAACTCAATTATTTCATGTATGAATTCAGGGGGGTTTCCTTCTTCACATGTTGCTTCAAAGTCAACAACACAGATGTAGTCGTAGCAACTGTCTCCATTAATGGCTTCCTTCTGCATCAGCTTCTGTTTCTTATAATAGTTTTTCAGTCTCTTTTTCAGCACATCTTTCACTCCTCTAAAAGAAAAACAAACAGGGAAAGCGACAAAGATCACACTCTCATTTAATTAATTATATCACCATTGTAGAACTGAAGCTGTATTTAATGTTTGAAAGTTCATCATTTATTAACCTCATTTTGAACACGAGCACTTAGGAAGTCTGCACTCAACTTTATCATACAGTTAACACTCCATTATCTGGGATAATGCAGAGGCTGCAATAATCCCCCCCGACAACTAACACATCTAGATAATATCAGTATTTGGGGACAGGCTGGGAAGCACAGCACAGAGACACTCTGCAGTCACCTCCAGTTCAGCAAGACTCGGTAGTCGAAGCCTTTGCAAAGCCCAAGTCTTTGCAGATTGCTCCTAGATGACCTCTGGCCCTGGAAGCAGTACTGCTTCACCTGTATTTCCCTGTGCCCTCTGCCTGAAGTGACTGATGCCCAAGGTATTTCTGCATCAGTGGCACAGATAATGCAAAATCCAGCTAAAATGCCCACATTTTAAATTTATCTCAATTTAAATTGAAAAATGAGCTTGAGTAATTCAATTAAAATAAACTACTTGAGATTTCAGTTGTCAGAAAAACTTCCTGGTCAAGACCCTGCTTTTCAGGAGGTTTGTGTCTAACATATAAATTGGCAGTGGCAAGCGATTAAAGTTACTTACTGTGTCTTTTTAATACAAACATTATAATATGCAAGTGCCAGAACTGCTGCGTACCAAACCAGGGCTGAATAAACAAGGATAATTTACTTTTCAGAGGAAGTTATTTTTAAAATTACATGTTGCAAATGAAATCACAAAAGCCGTAAGAGCTACTTGTAGCAAGTGGTATTATCAGAAAAGCTGCCCACTGATCCACAAGCGAAAACTGGAATCAGACTACTAAACCGGCATTTGAGAACATCAGCTTCTTCTGCAAACACAGATAACTCTTTTTCACTCTGGTTTATTAATCTAGTTTAATTCAATGACCAGTTCATTCAAAGTTGAGACAATATGGGAGCTGATGGAGGGGAAAATTACTTTTTTCTTCATCAAACATATAAAAGAAGTTGAAAGAGGAGATGATCTGCTATCAAAATAACCCCAAGGGAAAGGATGTGTGGCGATCTGCTCAGTTCACTACATTAGAGGTGATGCACTATCTGTTTACATGTAAGACATATTCTGACCAACTTAATTGAATATATTGACAAAAGAAGTCTAGCTTAGCTAAAAGAAAAGTTTAAAGCTTTCTTCATTTACAACTGAACAAAAAACACAAACAGAAAATTAATAACCTAGGAAGAAACCATGAACACATAATTTAGAATTTGAATTCTGCTTTTTATTTTTAAAACAGAATAATTGCTGAATAGTTATACAAATCTAACCTGTTTTACCAAAAAATTTATCAGATAATGATAAAAATCTTTCCTCCTGAGGAGCTAAATTCACTTAAGCAAAGGAAGAATTAAATAAACTATGCAGCCAGAACATCTGCAGAGAGACAGGGTGGAGGTGGCAGGCTGTACTTCCCATCCCACAGCACTTTTTTTTTTTCTTTTATTCTGTTCAAATGAATCTCTGTTCCTTCTGGTTTTGGTTTTGTTGGGGGTTTTTTGTGTTTTTTTTTTCCCCCTCTGAACATCCTCTCCCCTACAGTGGGCGTCTTCTCTAGAAAGCTAGACTTCTCCTTTCAGACTCCATCTCACCTTTCATATTCCCTCTTCCTCCACAGCAGCAGCTTTTCACATTGCTAACTCCCCACCACTACCACCGCCTTCCTCATTATGGCTCCCAATAGAAACAATATGCTTTGTTTTTCCCAGTTGACCTTCCTCTCAACATCTCAAATTTGTCTGGCCGCAGCAATATCAAAGGGTCTTGCAAGTCATTTCCAATAGAGCAGGAACTACTCTCTATATTCCTAGCCCTTTCGTCCTCCTCAGTGATCACAAATACAGTTTATAATACACTCACCTATTCCCATTGTTTTATCTCATCCATTCACATTCGCAAACTCTCCATCTAAAGGTACCTGTCCTCTGCATTGATTAAGTTCCGAGCTCTATCACCACAGAGGTTCTAGCCAATACCAGATCTGCACTGGGTATATAAAAATACACATGTTCAATAGTTTCTGAGTTTCTATACACAAAAGATCTGCAACATTACCTGAGAACCCTTGCAGTTCTTTCCCTCTTGACCAAAAAAGTGTAGAGAAGTACACGTTATATTAGTTGCATATTATTTTGTTTCTTTGTGTTACCAGTTGAGACAGCACACATTTCCGGTAACACATTAAGCAGTATCACACGCACTAAACCTACAACAAAAGCTGCATCAAGACTGCATGTAAAACAACTGGTGTTTGGTGGCGTGTCTGCATTGTACTTTGTGGTGTGTTTTTAAACTTTAAAATAATCATTCCTTATGGCTCTACTGCGCTCAAAAATAAATCAAAAGGCTTACAAATCAGCCTAACCTGGTTTCAAGCTTGAACTCTGCAAGTTTACTTCTGAGCTCCTCTCTGGTCATTCTGTTGATATAACCATTGGTTATAGCAATTTCTTTGTAAACTGGATCACTGAAGTCATTCGAACTGGCAGTTGAGTTTTTCCCATTAGTTTCTTGATCACTGATCCTACAATGCTGCCTACCCTAGAAGAAAAAGAAATCCGAAGGTCATTTAAGATCACAACAAGAAGCTAGAGCACTCAAATTTACATATAACTTTGGCACTATAATACTATATTATAATACAGTAAAACGTTATAGTTTCACTCATGATCAAACTAACTGAACTAGCTTACAGACGGGTAAGAAAATCAATACCAAAGCCTGCTCTGAAACCTCATTTTCCTAAAAAATCAACAGGCAGAAGAAAGGGATACTAACGCACGCGTCTGAAGTCATGCCAAACAGCAGCTCTAAGAAACAAAACCTGAAGGCGCATCCTAATTTCAACAGAGGAAGTCAGTTCTCTGGTATGAGCTGGCAAAACCTTGACCAGCATCAAGAGATTTCTCCCCACACCTTAAGTAACCGGAATCTGTATTGATCAAGACGCACAGACAGATGTCCAACGTGTGTAAAATAAATAAAACAATAAATTAAGAGGGAAAAACTAACGGCACTTCCACTCTGAACGGCCACTGCCAGCCTTTGTGGGGGCAAGCGCACGGCGGGGCCGGCCCGCGCCGGGGCCTCCCAGGCCTGAGGCGCAGAGGGAAGGCCCGTAGCAACGGAGGCGCCCCCTCAG